CCCAAATGGACCATGTCGGGTCGGGTCAAGTCTTACTAATTATAGTTATGGACTTAGACATTAATCCAACATTACACACTCTCCAAGTCCCCTGGTTCCATCTCAGCCCTCCTTGACTTGAGTACGGATCCTCTGCTTTCAGTAGTACGGGCCCATACTACCTTCCACATCTATCCGTACTTTCCTCAAGGATTACTTCGACTTCACCAAGTCCCTTTTTCCGATACCCTTTCCACTGATCTCATCCTAGAATTTCCTAGGGCACTCTCCGATCTGCTCTCTGCCATCAGCTGCACTAGGAGTCCCTACCAACATTCCCTAACTAGCTTGCGGATATTGTTACATATCTGCTTACTAGTTAGTTAAAGTTAGTCAGGACTTCTATAGCACAAACCAAGCAACATTCGTGCATTGAGTAACCACTCCAAGCATAACCTAATCAGGCTATCCTACTGCTGACTAGACAGTCCTAGCATACAGCTCATACAACAGGCATTCAAGGCATCCTCCTAGATCCTTAGCCCTAGGCTAGCATACAGTTCTCAAAATCATATATCAGGCATACAAGACATCCTCCTAGATCCTTAGCCCTAGTCTAGCATGCAGTTCTCAGGATCATATATCACATGCCATAACATAACAAGTATGAGTATCTTGGGGAAAACTTACTTGAGCTCCGCCGGTCGCACACATCACACACCTTGTTCTTTCTCAAAATTCCTTAACTTAGATTTTAGAAAATTGTTTTCTCTGTGGATTTTTTTTTAAATCCCTCGGTTTGAGTCCAGACACCCCCGAGGGTGTGTCCGAATCTCTCAAACCAGGGCTCTGATACCAACTTGTAACACCCCAAAATTTGAGGCCAAAAATTTTGTTTTTAAATTAAGTAAATCATAATTTATATTACCAAAGCATTGTCACTATTTCATCATTCATAAAATCATAAAACCATGTCTCGAAAACCATATCATCAGGAATAATGAAAATCAGAGTACAATCCCAGAAAATCCGATGCGGAAACCATGTGTGTGATGCGCTGCTACGCCGCTGGCTCTTTCCCCTTGGACGAAGAGGTACCTGAAACCAAAACTGAAACTGTAAGCACAAAGATTAGTGAGTTCCCCCATCATACCACACACCACATAACACCATCAGTATCTTTCAACCGGTAACTGCCATCGGTATCTTTCAACCGGTAACCATCATCAGTATCTTTCAACCGGTACACGCCATCAGTATATTTCAACCGGTAACTGGGGACTATTTCACCCCCTAACACTAGCATACCGTAACGAGAGATAATCATACAGTCAGGCATAATTGGGTAGGGACAGCTAATCCCTTCTACACACATAGCATATCATACAGGCATATCTCGTGACCATAACACATTAACATACCAAGATAATTATCACAAAGACAATCATCTCATACATAACTACTTACTGGTGGGCCGACATTGGTGCCTTAGACCCACCCCTACTGGAAGGTAACTCACCTCGTAGTAGTAGCTGCCGATCTGTGCGGGAACTCTCTGTCTGCTGCGGCTGCTCCGGAAATCCTCCGGCTATAATTCCCACAAAACACCCAATCAGAGTCTGATAACTACTCATATGGAGGAATGACTATTCTACCCCTGACCTAGTCAAAGTCAACCCAAAGTCAACTTCCAGCTGACCTGACTCGCCGAGTTGGGCCGCCAACTCGTCGAGTCCTTATCCATCTAATTGTCCTCATTCCCGTCCCTACTCGTCGAGTTAGGCAATGACTCGACGAGTTCTCCTCCCATTCGAACATCGAATGATCCTTCATCCGACTCGCCGAGTTGTATGAACAACTCGCCGAGCTCATCCTCATCTGAAGAACAAGCCATGTCCTTGACTCGCCGAGTTGTATGAACAACTCGTCGAGTTCATCTTCATGTGCTGGGAGATTGCCTTGGACTCACCGAGTCTGTTCATGTACTCGCCGAGTCCCATGAGCTCCAGGTCTAAGGCTAAGTCCAATACGTCTAAACAGCTATGGGACTCCCTTTTCTAACAACTGACCATCGCAGAAGGGTTTAAGAAGGCTGAAAGCGCACCGACTCGCCGAGTCCCATGAACGACTCGCCGAGTCCAACCTTGACCATTTCTATACGGTCGATCTAAAAGGGATTTAACACACCCAAACCATAGATTTGGCCTCCTAATGTCCATTTTATACGTAAAGTTCCAAACTTGATGCACATGCATGGGGTTTTTAGCTCAAAAGTACATAGAAGGTGCTCTACAATGTGCATGGGGCTCTCATGGCCATAAAGTTGGCACCTTTATGCCATGAGAACCCTCCAATGACTCAGATCTGGAAGTAGAACCTCATGAATCACCTTACGAATCCGAAAATGGCTTAAGAAGCCCTAAATGCACCGTAACCCTAAGCCCTAAAGATGAACAACCAAAAAGGAAGACCAAAACAGGGGCATTTACCTTGCTTGACCTGAAGATGAAGTAAAATCTCTGGATCTACAAGTCCCAACTCAAAATCCCAAGCTTCCTCTCTCCTTCCAAGCTTCACAAACCAACCAAGAACACTAAAATGGCCTTAACACACATACAAACGGCTAGGGTTTCGATATTCAGCTCTAAGGGAGTGCTAGGGACAAGGGAGGCTAAGTTAAGGTGTTTATATAGGGTGCAAACCCTCAGATTTAGGGTTTTACTCGCACAGCGCCTACTCGCCGAGTCCGTCTTCCGACTCGTCGAGTAGGTCACTTAAGATGTCTGCGGACTCGTCTCTACTCGACGAGTGGGTCCTCCGACTCGTCGAGTCCCAGGGAAAAACATAAAAATGCTTGAATTAAATGCGTACCAGGGAAAAACATAAAAACATAAAAACGTATAGACTGATACTAAAAACATGAGATAATAATAAAAATAACATATTCTAAACATCAATAATACGGAAACAGATGTATATAAAAATAAGAAAATTTTTCATTAATACCTTTAGAAACTTTAAATATTACGTCTATACCATTATAAAATTTGAAATTACATATATATCCTTCTTAAACTATAAAACTCACATCTATATCTAAACTTTTAATTTAGTTAGATTTAAATTAATTTAATATAAAAAAGCTTATTTGGAAATCAAATTTGTATATAATTATACTAAAATACCTTTCCAAATATTAATGATTAACATTAAACCATTTAAATTAGGATTAACCTAATTATACTTTCATGTACGTCGTTTACTTCATTCCTAAACATAACTTGTCAAAACCAAAACAGTTATAATACAAAATATATCTACTCTAATAAATGAATGTTTTTTTGTCACATGTTATACTTTCATTCAATTTTTCAAATGTCATTTTGTGGTTATTTTGAATTAATATATTTTCCACATGTCATTTTATTAATTTTTCTATTTTATTAAATTTCATATAATATTTTAATGTAATAATTACAATAAATATGGTAATAAATAAATATCAATTTCATTAAGGATCTTACATTTTAATTTTAAAATTTCAAAATTAAAGGTCATTGGTTTCTTTTGTTTATTTATTTAAATTTAAAAGATAAAAAACATTTTAATTATAATAATTCATTATTTTTCTTATTTTCTTATAAATTTAAAGTTCTCAAATATTTTGATATTTATATTTAACTTTTTTTTAAATTAATCTATATAAGACATGTGTCTCACAACTAATTACTTAATAATAAGAAAGAAGATGAAATATACTAACAAGTGAGACATTTGTACAATTATATAGGAGGAGCATTGAAACAAATTGGTAGCATAAATATCCACCCAAAAAGGTAAAAATAGAATTTTTTTTTTCTCACATAACCAAACTTTATAGGACCATCAAAATGAATGGAAAACATAATTCCATGAGGAAACAAAGAAATTCAAACTTTATGTGATAAGGGAGAAAGTCATGAAATAACCGTCATGGATGGAGGAGGTTGTAATTACGTTTAATAATATAATTGAATTGATTTAATGCTAATCTTTAATATTTGGAAGGGTAATTTAGTAATAATCACATTCAAATTTGATTACCCTATAAATTTTTTGATATTAGGTTAATTTAAACTTAACTAAATTAAAAGTGTGTTAAACTATAAAATATAGACATAATTCTCTTCGAAACATATGTATGAAAATTTTCATATCGATAAATTCAAGCGAATCAAAATAATATTTTCCACCGACTAAAAAAGGTTCGTCATCGGTTTGATCCAAATCCATAAATACCAGTGAAGTCTTGTGTAAGGGCTCTTGAATATAATTTCACCCTCGTCACCCTGCCGCAAAACACCATCACCGAGATGTGGCTATTATTCCACCACAATCTCCAATCGATCATGAAGCGAAACCACGACGACAGCTTTCTCAAAATCGAAGCAGTTAAAGTCGTCGAACGGGAAGTCCGTTTCGATTCTCATTATCTCAAGAGATTGTTCCCCAATATCAATTGGGAAACCCTAGTCTACGCATCAAAGACATTGGGATACCACGAGCTCGCTGAGGAAACCCCCGACGCGTCGTTTCTCGATTCCGAAGATTTTCTGAAGAAATTCCACCACGCACTCTTTGAGCTCCGCCTCCAGGAAGGCGCGATGGTTTGCGCTCAGAGAGATCGCAGGTTTCGTATTGAAGCTGGGCGCGTTAAAGTAGAGGTGCGATTAACAATTTTCATTAATGTTTATCGTTAATTAATGAAAATTTGCTGAGATTTGAAGATTAGGGCACTTAATAAGTACGATGACATTTACTTATTCTAAATATCTGATTTGGTACGTCTGCATGCAAGTATACTTATTCTAAATATCTGATTTGGTACGTCTGCATGCAAGTATACATGGCATCGTATTATCATATATATAGACATTGAAAAAGAAACAAAGACGATGCATGAATCGGATTGTTTAGGGGAAGAAAGATAGGAAGGATCCAAAGTCCATACACATGACCCTAATCATAATCTCATATATGAGAAGATAGGAAAAAACGATTACGATTGAATTCTTGTTTATGCTCAAACAGTTGGAAAGTATTTAGGTTTTAATTTCTTACGTAGTCTAAATCTAAACATTTGCTATTGAACTTTTTTTTTTGTTTTAATGGTTTAGATGACAAGTGATGATGACAAATCAAAGGAGAGCAAGATAAAAGAACCCCCAAGTAATGAGGATGAAGGGGATACAAGAAAAAAAAAGCTGTCACTTGTATAAATTGCGGATTTGAGGTTTTTTAATAACTAGGATTTGATGTTTCTTAAGTAGCTAGTTTAACCTCTGTTTCAATTTAAATCTTTGTTGTTTGTTTATGATTTAGATGCTGCCAAGTGATGATGCTTCAGCGAGCAAGAGAAAATAACCAGCAAGAATTATGTTCCTTTGATAAGCTGGGCCAATTGAGCAATGAATGCCTTCTCTACTAAAGACTATGTTATGTAATCAAGACTGGACATCACATGTCGAATTATGAACTGTTCAGAGCCTCACTACTGCATAGAGAAACAAATGGAGGTTAACATAGCTATATAGTCCGTTTATATTTAATTTGTATCTTCTAGATTTCAATTTTTTGCAACGTTGTTTCATATGTGATGAGCATAGTACTGTTTGGAAGGAAACTTTGGGACTTTTGTTTTATATTCCTACTTGTTTGATAGTGTTGGTACGTCGAAAACCTAAAGGTAATATATTGTGAAATATAAATTTCTTTTTACACAAAAACAACATTATAATAAAAGCGAATCCGACAAAATTATATAAAAAATGAAAGTAAAAAATACGAAGATGTCCGACAAAAAAACAATGAAGGTACAAGTACCAGATGCACAAATTGTGCATCAACAATTTGTACATTAGCATAAGAACTACATATCTACGAATGTACAAGTCGCTAATGTATGCTTGTGCCTCAGGTACTTGTATGTCATCAGACAAATGCAACTGGGATTTCATAGGCCTTACATGTGATTTCCCCTCACTCGAACACATCCTACGATTTTATAATTCGTAATTACAATTTCCTTTAATGAAATCAAACATCATAGATGTGATTCCTCTCACAAAAGGCTAAAATAGTCTTTTTTTTTGGATAAAGAATCGAGACCTATCCTAGAAACATAAAACCTAATAAACAAGATTAAAACAATAAAATGGCTAATGACATAAAAGCCCTTAAAATTTTAAGAAATGTCTGGTTTTAAGATTTGGTGTCTTTTAGGTCTAGTAAAGCCTGAAGTGCTTAATTTTTTTTGGTTTATATCCATTTAGCAAGTTTTGTTTGTTACCAATACGTTGCATACACATGTGGCGCAACACGTCGACACGTTGATTAGGATCATTGAGCTGACATGGCAACAATGTCATATTTATATCTATTAAATAAAAAACAATTAATGCCTAGAAATTATGTTACTATTTAAACCAACTGGAAGAATTGTTTAAATATTACAAACTTAGATGATATTTTTGCATTTTCACGGCAATAATGAATGTTTAACAAAGCAATCATAATACAACAAACTGCAAGGAAACGTAAGTTAAAAATCAATGAGCGAATTGCATATTTGCAATAAGAAATTAAGAAGATTGTTAGTGCAATCATATTTCTATGCGTTATTCAAAAAATGCATAAATTTGAGCTAGATAGAGACTACCGACTAACCTGAAAATATAATAAAAGAGCACCAAGATGAAAAGGAACCTAAAAAAATTGTCATCTCTGATGATTATTCATTCAGGTGAATTTCAAAAGTTGATGTGACCGTGAAAAGTAGATTGACCATTTGCACATGGAGGTCTAAAGATTACGTTAATTCTCAAAAAACTCACTCGGAGAATCCGGTAACGGAATATGGCAACCTTGATGAGAGACGGATTAAACATAACATCTAGAGTCTTTGTGACGTCCAAAAAATCCATGGAAAAATTTTCATTTTTAAAACATTAATCCATACAACATTTTGTTCCCAAAAACATTCAAAGTGAAAAAATAGTATTTAAACATCAGAGTAAAAGTCATAAAGAGCTACTGCAGAATAAAACTCTGGGGATGTTGTGCAGTCACGTAAGACCATTCCCTTTTGAACTAGATGTATGTGAAACCATAACCATAAACTCTAAGCACAAAGCTTAGTGAATTCCCCAAAATACCACATATCATACATATCATTGGGCTTAGCCCGCACTGTAACGCCCCGATTCTCAGGTATTGATTTTGTTATAAGATTTTCTAGATTTCAAGGTCTACTCGACGAGTTGGTTGCCCTGACTCGTCGAGTAGCAGCGGGTTGGTCCACGTGTTTAAGTGACCTACTCGCCGAGTCCAAGAAGGGACTCGACGAGTAGGAGCTGGGGGATGAAACCCTAATTTCTAGGGTTTTGCACCCTATTTAAAGGATCATTGGCCTCCTCAGCCTCCCCTTACAGCCTCTTGATATTCCATAACCCCTAATTCGTGTGAGTGTGCTCCATTTGTGTGTTCAAGCTTTGGAAGAGGATTTTTGGTGAGAAAAGCTTGGAGAACAAGTGACTAGAAGCAAGGAACGTGTGGGAATCAGAGATCTACCTCAGTTGGCATCCTTTGGAAGGTACTAAGCCGTTATTTTGACCTCATATCATAGATCTCATTTGGGTGGATTTTAGGGTTTTTCTAGCATATTAGGAAGCCTTTCTTGTGTTTGAGCTAAGATCTGAAGTTGCAACTTCAGATCTGAACTCCCTTGGGTCTCCAAGTCCATAAAGCTTTCAGCTTTTGCAAGAATGAGACTCTCCTAAGGTGTAAAACTCCATTGCAAGCTTGGATTTGTCATTTAGGGTCTCTAAAGCCTTGCATGCATGTAAAGTTTGCAACTTTACGTGATAACCATGCCTTGGGGATTTCGATCTGCAATTTGGAACCTTAGCATAGCTTAAAAAGCATCTGTTTGGATGAAGGGCTGAAGGGACTCGGCGAGTTGCATGGTCAACTCGGCGAGTCCGATGAATATTGTCGTAAACTTGGCGAGTCAGTAGAGTGACTCGGCGAGTCAGCTAGGGTTTTCCCAACCTTTGGACACGCGTGACTGGGCGAGTTGCAAGGGAAACTTGACGAGTTGGCCAAGGAGTTCACGTCCACAAACGTTAGGAACTCGACGAGTCACTCAAGTAACTCGGCGAGTTGTCTAGTTATGCAAGAAACTCGGCGAGTGGTTGGTTGTACTCGACGAGTTTAGGTCAACATGGACTGTTGACCTTGGCAGTTGACTTTGATTTTTAACCAAGGGTTGACTATTGGACTTCTGGGGCATTTTAGGAATTTATGAACATGGCTGTGTGATGAATATAGGTGGTGGAGTTTGTGGCGGTGATCCGAGAGTTTGAGCTTATCTTTCGAGTCGGCAGTTACGAGGTGAGTTATCCTCACTATACTAAGGGGTCTAAGGCACCAAGGCCGGCCCATTGGATATGATTTCCTAGCAGTTGGTAGTATGTTGAGCATGAGTTAGTGTTGCATGTTAGTTCCTATGCCAGTTAGGTTGATCTATAGGACGCCCTGTAGAATCATGTGATTATCTGTATGTTCATTAGTTGTGTTATATGTTGACATATTATGTGAGATGGGTTGAGGTGATACTGCTCCGTGCGGTGACCAACAAACCCGAGAGCATTCCAGATACGAGCTGAGGGAGACTCGTACTGTCACACCCCAAAACCGGAACGGCGGAAACGTTCTGGGGCGGAGGACGTCATCCGTAGTATCACAACAATTGTATCATAGCAAGCATAGTAAACACAACCAGACATTGAATACATATGTGAAAAAGGTTTACATTGTTTATTACATAGTTTTGTTCATCACAAAAGTACAATAGTAAAGATATCACTCTAACGCTCCAACTTCTCCGAACTCCTGGAAGTACCTGTCTACTAATACCCTGAGAATACAAGCAGTTTTTGAAAGAATATCAGCATAAAGCTGGTGAGTTCATAAGCATTTAGTTTTTAGTAGGAAATATTCGTTGATCCTTTTGAAAAGTGTTCCTTAAGAAAATCCTATATTTTCTTTATAAAAACATGTTTGAAAACCTATTCCTTCCATGAATTCCAGATTTGTACCAAGGTATGTACAATCCAAGGTGTTGTGGAATGAATATAAATATCCGTTGTTTATAACACAAATCCGTTTTGAATAGCCGGTTTATCCCGGGAAAATCCTATATTTTCCTTAAGAGTTGTTAGTTGGTTATCTGCTCTTGTCTGAGGTGTACAAGTATCTACCATACTTGTATCGTTAGACGTAGTTTTCTTGTTTATTCCCAGTGAGGTGTATTAGCCTTATTACATAAATAAAACTAATAAATAAGTGGTGAACTAAGTCCGAAGGGTATTATTAATACTTTCTAGTAATCAAATCGGTTATTACTTTGAGGCTAGTTCACTTGTTTCATTATTACACATGTATGTTGATGTTATCTAGGTTGTGAGTGTCATAACCGTACTTAGACTTGATGTGGCACGTAACGGGGCCAATATCCTTTTTATGACTTTTGTCACCCATGACCTTATCGGTCCAACTGTAGCTAGCAGTAGAGTGCGGGATAGTCAGTCCCGTATAGATCTATACACAACAGTCACGCTCTCCCTACAAGAGATTTTGGTTACAAGTGCTAGTCCTACACTCTCGAATACGGGGGGAGTGTTACCAAGGACGTGTCTCCAACTTTAGACTAACAATTTGCATGTAATAATACTAAAAATACTTATTACGTTTTGTATGAATCCTTTATAAAATAACACATTTTACGATATGATTCACAAATTCGTTGCTTTAGTTTTGAAAACTGTTTATACGAGTTGATTTCTTAATCGTTTGGTAAAACTGTTTTCTGTGTTAAAAACATACTGAACATATAATTATTTTATACAACATAATATACTTTGAGCACAAGTTTCCTTGTACTTTTGCTTGTATCCCCCCTGAAAACCTGGAAAAACTCAGAAAAAGCGTAGGGGTATGAACTCACCGTTTTGACGCGGGATTTGAGTGTAAGTTGCTAGGAATTGTTGAGTGTCAAATAAAGCCTTGGGTACAAACGGATCCTATTTAGCATGTAAAAGTACACATATGCATTAGGTGAGGGCATAACACTATTTGTTATGGA